TTTATAGGAAAAATAGGTCATGAATCCCCAGGCTAACCTGCTAATAGAAGAGGGTAAGATTTCAGTGGCATAAGAGGGAAACAAGTTGTCACATCATCATGTGGCAAGGATGTGTGTCAGCTTCAAGAGTTCCTAGGCTCTTGATGGAGAAGGAAAGAGAAATAGTAATAGAGCCATGAGACTGGGAAATATCAGGAACCTGTGATAAGAACCCAGCCTTCGGGGTGGACAGGTGGAGGTTCTTAAAGCCAAGCCTCTGCTCCTGCCATGGCCATGATGTCCTAGCTGGTTTTCAGCCTTGCTAATGCATAACAGATAATGAATTAGATTTTAATGAGGACAGAAAGGGGAACTGGCTTTCAGGGAGACCTGTCAGGGCTTTATGTGGAAGTGCTTGAAAGCTTTCACTTTGACTACTTCACAGATATTAAAAACAAACTTGTATACTTTAGCTTGTTTGAGTCTTTTTTGAGAGAAAAAAATATTGAGTGGTGTTGAACAATGAATACTCCCCGGGTAGACAGGTGACAAAGCAGATCATGGAGCAACTATGGTAGTGTTCTCACGCATAAAAGGAGGCAAGGGGCTTGATCTGGGTACCACAAAAGCTTTCTTTCAGTTCTGACCTTTTGTGACATTCATTTATTTATTCATGTAGACATTCATTCATTCAGTGCCCTGCACAATTCTAGGCCCTGGGATGAACGAAGCAAACTGTCCTTGTGGAGCTAACATTCTAGTGAGAGAAATAGAGACATAAACACATGTGCAGAGAAATATCTATGATATGATTTCAGGTAATATGTTCAATGAAGGGACACAGAGGGGAAGGTTTGGTTGAGAAGGTAACATTTTGGCATGGAAAGGGAGCCATGTGAATATCTGGGGTCAGAGCATTGCAAGAGAATTCAGGAGCCCCTGAGCAGGCCAGTTTCAGGAAAGCCAAGGATGCCACACTGAGGCAGAGAGGAGCTTGGATCCAGATCAGGCAGAGCCTCACCCACATGGCAGGAGCCAGGTAGGGGCTGAAGGGCTTCCGGCCTCAGGAAGGGCGGAACAGGGGCCATTTCTGGTTGGTGTGCAGAAGGCAGAACTGGGTTCAAGCTGGGGTAAACTGACAGGCTAGAAACAGGAGATTCCCACTGCTGGGGATCTTGGTGAGAGGTGCCAAGTGGTAGTGGATGGAGGGATGAGACGTGTTTAGATTTTCGATATGTTTTGAAAGTAAAGCCATTGGGATTGTTTGTGGATTGAGTGAGGGATAACAAGGTTCCTGGTCAGAGGAGGAAGTAATGGTAGTCCTGGCTAGGGCAGGGGTACACATGGCCAGTGGTGGAGGCATAAAGCAAAAATCCAGCTTTGACATGCCAAGTTTAAGAAGCCCAACTGGATGTCTGAGGGAGGACATGGAAAAGGGACCTGGACATGGAAATCAGACACTCAGAGGAGAGGTTGGAACTGGAGGTGGGCATTCGAATGCCATCTCTGAGTAGATGGTACTTAACACCCTAGAACAGACTGACATCACAGAGGGAGCAGCTGTAGATATAAAAGAGGACTGAAGACAGAGCCAGCGGCCCCAACATGAGGTAGGGAAGAGAAGGGGCATCCATCAAGACAGGAAGAGTGGCAGCATCCATTGAGCAGGGATCCCAGGAGAGTGTGTGGCTCTGCCAACATTGCTGAGAGATTAGGGGACAGCAGTGAGCTGACCAGTGGATCTGACAAGGTGGACAGGTGAACACAGAAGAGCAGTTGATGGTGCTGTTGGGTAGAAAACTTTGATTGGAATATGTTAAAGGGAGAAATGAGGAAAGACCATTCTTTAAGGGATCTTTCTTGCTCTCTCTCTCTTTCTCTCTCCCCCTCTCTCCCTTCCTCCCTCCTTCCTTTATTCCTTTCTTTCTCCTTCCTCCTTTCCTCCCTTCCTCTCATCCCTTCCTCCCTCCCTTTCTTCTTTTTTCTTCCTTTCATGGGGTTTTATTCTGTTGCCAGGCTGGGGCACAGTGCATGATCATAGCTTGCTGCAGCCTTAAATTCTTGTGTTCAAGAGTTCCTCTGAACCTTATCCTCCCACAGTACTGGGATTACAGGTGTGCGCCACCACACTGGGCCCTTTAAGTGATCTTTCTAGGAAGAGCAGAGAAATTTATTTTTCTATTGAAAGAGAAATATTGAGGGGGGGGAGGGTGCACCACTAGGAGGTATGGGGTCTAAGGACAATATTTTTTAAAGATAGAAGGTTTTGAGGCATTTTAGCAGTTTTGAAAAAAGTTGTTAGGAATGATCCAATAGAAAAAGAAACATTGGAGTTACAGAAGAGAAATGGGAATTAAGAGAGCCAAATCCTTATGTAGGCATAAAGGAACGGGGCCAGTGCCAGAGACAATATTGGCACATGACAGGTGCAGGGGTAGCTCAGCCCAGGGACAGAAGATACAAGATGTTGGGAGAGATTTGGAGGATGAGGCAGCTCTGCTCCAATTACTTCTATTCTTCCCCTCCCCACTGGGAATGAGAAATGGGAGGGGATGTCATAGGTTGTAACATAGTCAGCCTGTGGTAGCATGGAAGATGACTTGAACAGGGACAGGTAATAGGATTTCAACATGAGTCACAAACACCTGGGATACAATGCTCCTGAGGTTTGGAGGCCTGTGGAAAAGAAGGGAGGGTGCAGATGAGAGCATGAGTGTTCATACACTACCTTGCACACATTTGGATAAGTCCCTCAAATTAAAGACATAATGAGACTTGGCTGGTGTTGGCAGGAGATCAACACTCATCCTGTTATATATCTCAACTGAGGCTTCCACAATGTTTGGTGCAGTCTGCTTTACAGCTGGTAGGAAATCATACAGGAAGCCATTTAAGATGGCCTAGAATCAGAAACATAATATGACAGGGTTAGATTTTTTTTTAAAGCAAATATTTATCTTTCAACTAGTCCAGAGTAGAAAGTCATATTCCAACACAAAGATGACTGGGTATTTTTTTTTTTTTTAAGATGACTGGGTATTAAAGCTCTTCTGTTCATTTCAGAATATGTTCTCTTGAATAGGCTTGCTCTTGTCCTCTGTGATTGTTGGTGATGTCTGAGCAGCATTCATACCTGACTAGTGAATCTACTGTGAGCCCACTCTCAAATAATTTAGATCTATGCTTGTAGAAGGTCCAGAGTGTCTTCATGGAGGGTACACACTCAGCTGGAAATGAACTGAGAGCTGATTTTTCTGAAAGAACGAGCAACAATCCCATAGGTTTTCATCTTCATTCATATTTTAAGTGCAACTTACATGTAAGGAAGAATGCCCCCGCCCCTCAGCTTCCCAGTCTCAGTAACCAGCCCCACCTTGGTTCAGATCAGGAACTGGGAAATCTCTTTAGATACCTCCTATTCTCTGCCCCCCCAAGATCAATCTTGCATACATTTCTTGGATCTGTCTGTTTCCCTCAGTTTCCCAGACACCACCCCATTCTAGCCCCCTGCTCATTTTCTTCTGGGCTTATTCTTTTTCTCCTCAGTGGTCTCTTTACTTCCATTCTTGTTTCTTTTCTGTTACTTTAATCATGCAAATCAGGTCACAGCTCCCCCAGAGTTCCACCCCTCCCTAGCCACCTCACCTCCCTGCTCCTCCCCCTTGTGCATCTGGGTCCCAGCCATGCTGGCCAGGACACCTGCTCCTTCCTCCCTCTGCACATGTCTACCCCAAATGGCTCTCTGGCTCTCTGCTTGGCCAACATCTTCACAACCTTCATTTTTTTAGGTTACATGTCATCTCTCCAGAGAGGCCTTCCCTGATCATCCAATCTAAAACAAGCCCTCCACCAGTCTCTCTGATCTCCTCATACATAACCTACCATAATTTGAAGGTGCATATTTCTTAGCTAGTCTCCACTAAGATGATCTTGCAAATATTCTGGTCATCTATTTGACTTTAGATTTGGGAGTCATATATGCGATCTTTTGAAATGAGCCAAAATTATTTGTTTTCAGTGGGCTTCCTGTTAAACATTAGCTTCAGCAGTTTATGAAGACTATGTGTCTTTTTGAGGTACCCTGTTTCCTGGGCCCCCAACATGACTTCAACATACTTCACATGGCCTATGTTTTGAGTAGGATTATCCTAAACCCAATCTTCAAATTTAATGAACATCTATTTGTCTAGCTGTATGTGTGTGATGGAGAAGAGAGAAGCTATAATATATTTTATACATTTTATATATACATATAAAACTTTATGTATATGAAAAAGTTTTAACCTTTCTATTCTCCATCACTCAAATAAAAATTCAGTTTCTAACATATATATTGGTAACCGTGTGTATATGTCTATTTATCTCATTCATCTGTTTATTATTGGTGTCTATGGTAGAAGATTCATGAGGACAGGTTTGGCATGTGTTTTGTCCAAAATGATACACCAATGCCTGGCATATGCAAGGTGCTCAACGGATATTTGTTTAACAAATGAATTAGGTAATTGGTATTTATAAATTAGAATTGGCATGTCATTGTAGAGTTTACGGAGGACCATGGCTTGATATTCTACTTACAGGTCTGGCTTGCAGGACACATTTAGCAAAATTCCTAAGCTCCTACTTATAAAATACACAGGACAGAGCCAGCATTCTCACAGTTTGGGGGAAGGGTGTTGTGGCAGGAGGATATTATTAGTATTTTATGGAGTTGATCATGGTTTTCAATTACTACTGTTACATCTTTCTAGAAATTTAATTTAATTTAGTGACATCACCAATTTAATTTGTTGTGTGCTGTTCAGCTTCCCCTTAGAGCAGGGGTCTTCAAACTTTTAAAACAGGGGGCCAGTTCACTGTCCCTCAGACCATTGGAGGGCCAGAATGTAGGCCCCAGGACAAGTTGGCTGCTAAGCAGGACGGGCAGTGGTGGCAAAAACACCTGGTGGGCTGGGTAAATGTCCTAGGTAGGCTGCATGTGGCCCATCGGCCATAGTTTAAGAATGCCTGCCTTACAGCGTACAGGGATACATATTTTGGTACATGAATTTCCAATAAGTAAACATTCAGGTGTGTATGAATTGTGGTATAAGGCAGAGCCATCCATAACATACATATTCCAAATCTGTGCAAACCCTGACCCATCATTAGTGATGCCCTCCTTGCTTATGCATACTGTTTAACCAATTTGCAACAGACTATGAAAGAAAGTACAGTGATACGGCTGATTGTTTAAAAATCACTGGGTGTCCTTGGCTGTGCAGAAGCTCTTTAGTTTGATCAGGTCCCAATAGTGTATTTTTGATGTTGC